TTTTGTATGCTGATTATATATTTCGCTGAGCATAAAAATGGGAATACAGATCTGTTATATCAAGAACCGAACATGAAAAATTATTTCGTAAAAACGCAACATGAATCTCCAGTCGACATGAATGTAACATGAACTATGGTTGCTACAGCATCCTTATGACGCGCTTCAGTGTGGCGTAAATTCATGTTGCGTTTTTAAGAATCTACTTCTTCATGTTACGTTCTTTCGCATATTGCTTTGTTATATTTTTTCGATTGTTTTGTTCATGTTGCATTTTGTTATTCAATTTGTGAGAAATTAATAAATATGGTTTTAAAAAATTTAGACAAATTTAAAAATTCCCAATTCACATATGCAGACAATGCGTTGTGAAAATGAAGAAGCGAAATAGAAACCCATAGAACCCAGACGTGTGCAAGGGGGGGTGGGGTGGTAATTCCGGTTTTACCCCCTAGGATTTGAAAATCAAGACCCCCATCGAGCGATTTTGAAATTTTTTACATTAGATAGAATTGATTTTCAAAAGTGAGGACCTTTTTTTGAGTCTTCAGTATTTTTTCGACACGATTTATTAATTTCCAGACCTCCATTGTGGAATTTTGTCTGTTTTACACTAGATAGAATCGATTTTCAAAAGTGAGGACCTTTTTTTGTAGGTCTTCACTTTTCTTTCGACACCCATTGACAAAATTTTTAGACCCCCATCTGCCAAAAAAAATTACCCCCTTCTAGGATTTTTGACCTTGCACACGTCTGATAGAACCGAAACGAGAGCGCGCGGGACGAGCGAGTGGACAAATTTTTTAAACCCAACTTTATTAATTTCTCACAAATTGAATAACAAACTCAGAGAAAAAATAATACAATGAAAATCTGCTATTTTCAAAACAAAAAATTCACTCACAGAACCAATAATACGTGCCATTCAAATTTTCTGTCATTCCATCAATTTATGCCCAGCGAAGCGGGCTGGGCCACGCTAGTATTTATAGAATAATGTTATGTCTTCGGTAATGTGCGACGTTACGGCAACTTTTGACAGTTCCCATATGTCATGTAATATCCGAAGCGCGACACTATATGGGAATTTGCATGAAAACTAAACACACACACGCCCCTTTTTGGACATTTTATCATTGAAACCCAAGTAATACATGCGAACCAATGGCAACACATATAATACATAGTAATTTGATATGTTTCGTTACTTGGGATGCGACATTGACGCGCATTGCCAACATGAAAGAAAATAATTTTTCTGAAATATTCTGTTTGTTGTAGTTTTTTTGAACATTATTTTGGAGGCATGCAGTTAGATTCATATTTGAAAATATTTTGAATAATTGTACACTGCATTTATGAATGATTGCAAAATTTAAAATTTAATTCAGCTCATATTTTTCTCTCTATAAAACTTATAAAAATGTCTGTGGTTAATGTCATCGCTGTTATAATTATGGACACGTTTTGTTGTTGTCATATGATTTCACAAGATTCCATATTGATTACAACATATTGTGAAATTGTGAAATATTGCGAAATAATATTAAAAACCAAACATTAGCGATTTTTATATCACTAGACATTTGTTCGATTTCATCTTTTTAATTATTTTCTATTATTTTATCATTAATGCAAATATAAACATGTCGGTGTGAACACGAAAAAATATGAAATGAAGAAGAATTTTTTATTTACATATTATGATGCGCATGTACACAGCGCCCTCATGCAGTATTTATTCTGATGCAGTAATGCCAACTTTCTGCATAGAAAACTATGGATCCCCAAAAGGGTGCGCTGTTTTTTTTTAGAGAGCCCAATAGAGTCGCGCTACGGTATTATCTATTTCATTATTGTTACGTGTTACCGAAGTTGACAATAGTGTTTTACATTGCCAAAAACACATAACGGTTTTTTATATTGCTTGTGCGTACACAAGAAGCAATGTTGAGCGTATCTATGGACTCGCATTGCTACTGTGATACACACTGCCGCACTGCCGCACGGACGCACGAAAACTTGCCCCTTGTGTTTTGTTTATCCAATGATGCCTATTGATGAATACAACACCAATTAATATAGCGTACGAACAACAAAAATGTAATGAAGCCATTCGAAATAATACACAGTATTGAATGTGACATACGCATATGCACAGAGTCCGTTCCAGTGCGCATAAAAAGTGTAGTTCACTTGCTAGCACCAGTTGGCGCTTCGGGGCTATTTTAAGTATTGTGATAACTGCCCATATCCGTGAATTTCGTATATTGCCATAAATACCAAAACAAAAATGTTGAAAATTTTGACAGTCTAGAGAACTCAATATGGAAAAGTAGATTCTCTACCCTATGGACGTGTCCAGGGCCTGTCCGAGCGGGAGTGCAGAGAGTGCGGCGCGAGGGCGCCCGAATGCCTATTGAAAAAACATGTTTTCAACAAACGCATGAGGGCTCCGAAGGCGCTCGAGCGCTTTAGGCTAGGAATTTCTTTGAAAAAAAGGGCACGCGAGAGCGTTGAAGGCGTTCTAGCGCTTTATGCTAGAATTTTTTTTGAAAAAAAGGGTGCGCGAGAGCGCCGAAGGGGGCGCAGATCCACGAACGCTCCATATAAAAAATATTTTGATCGTTTACGATAGAGCGTCAAAAATAAAAAATTTTCTCCTCTTAGCAATGATATTAGCAATGCATTTCTTCGAAAACAATATGAATATGCCCGCTATTATATTTTGTGTTCTGTTTATGGAGAGAGTAGCAATATGAACAGAGCGGAGTCACTGAGTTATATTCACGGTAAATGTAACAAGTGCAAACAATAAACAAAACTCAGCCGCTACTTCGCAGCCAAATCGCCGGTGCAGCCGGTGCAAGGCAGAACATTGAACATTATTACAAATGCGCCGAAGGCGCGTGAAATCAAAATTTTGGAACTATTCAAAAATATAGCGCGCCAACCTAAATTTGTATCGAGAATTACATAAAATAAGGCGCTAGATCCATTCAAAAGGGCGCCAAAAATGAAGGAAATGGTGTCCAATGTTCAAGTTTTGGTACGCTTTTACTATAATCAAGTGTCGCTTGTATTTCAAGTGCCTTTTCTAAAATTCAAAATATAAACAATACGATTTCAGCGCTTATTGAACTGATTACAAAATATATTTAATTATTTTGAGCGCCCTTTTTATCCCTCGTACACGCACATGGGTCTGGCCAGGCATTTTTCGATTTTGAGCGTTAATTTAACATACTTCTAGTTTAGATAGCGACTTGAGTTTTAAGTTACCTGCCTAAAATTTCATTGGCTATCGATCTAGCAAAATGAACATCACAAAGAAGTCCTTGAAAGGGATGATATAAAGATATCCAAAAACTACACCTTACTCCACGCACATGGTGTCTGGCCAGACCCCTATACATTTCCATGCATTTGTATGGGAATAAGGTATATATGCCATTTCATTTTTAGCGAATCTGATGAAAGATAAGTGATAACTGTCCTCAGCAAAGTTGTAGATCAGGTCAAGAGCTACATTTTTTGTCGAAAACGTCATCTCCTTATCTCTTATCAGTGCCGCGAAAAATGATAAGAGAAAACTCGAAATTTCCGCGGTTTATCGCGTTCCTGATAAAAGAAAACGAATTAGTCTCTGGGGAAGAAATATAGTGCTCAATCTGTTCTTCAACTTCGTTAATAACAGTTATCACTTATCTCTTATCAGTTACGCAAAAAATGATAATCAAAAACTCTGTCAAAAACATCTTCCTGTTATCAGTTTTATGCTGTTTTTCGCGTAACGATAAGAGATAAGTGATATATGTCATGAGCAAAGTTGAAGAACAGATTGAGTACTATATTTTTTCTCCAGACACTAATTCGTTATCCTTTATCAGGAACGCGAAAAACCGCGGAAATTTCGAGTTTTTCTTTATCATTTTTCGCGGGACTGATATGAGATAAGGAGATGACGTCTTCAAAAAAAACTGTAGCTCTTGACCTGATCTACAGCTTTGCTGAAGACAGTTATCACTTATCTTTTATCAGTTTTGCTAAAAATGAAATGGCATATATACCTTATTCCCATACAAATGCATGTAAATGTATAGGGGTCTGGCCAGGCACCATGTGCGTGGAGTAAGGTTTTAAAATATGTGCGTGTACGAGGGTTAATGTGATTCTTAGTAAACACAGTTTAAATGCGCGTATTCGCGCTACGTTCTTGAAGAGGTAAAAAAATTTACGCTCGCGATAATATATGATTTTTCCAGTACGTTCAGAACGTATATTTTCATTATCGCATAAAGCAGATATATTATGTCTACAGAATTGGTGAAAAATCGTAATTTTGTTCGATTCATGGAAAATTTTGTTGGATTCACAAAGGCATGGAAAATCTAGTTTTCGAATCACGTACAGAATTTTTCTTGTGAAAAAATTACTCGTTTTGAGACAATTTTGAGTCAAAAAATTCCAGGGGCGCATGCATACAATTTGCACCGGGGCGCCGTGGGTGCTCGGACAGGCGCTGTACGTGTTTGGCGCACTGTATGCCCGAGACGAAGTTGAAAACTAAATAAAAGTATCAAGCAATGTAAACCGGAGTTCGGTCGCTTTCTATAGATTATACCTTTAGATAAACAATGTGAGTATTCACATAGTATTATGTGTGGGATATCAGCACATGTTATGCTGTCTTATTACACACACCCTACGTGTATATTGTATGAAAACTAGGTATGTCTTATATTTTGTCATAGTCTATTTTTCATACAAAATACACTACGGTACCGTCCCCAACAAGGAAATATATTGCCAACACCAAATAAGGCCGTACGGTTAAAAACGTAATCTCTTTATTCAGACAAATTTTATTCAGACAAATAAAATATGGCAACTATCTATAGCCACTGATGCAAGTGTTTCGTAAAATCATTGATGCATAATAACGACAATAAATACTTAAAGACATCAACAGCTTATACCGTATCGAATAATCTTTTTAGTGTGGCATCCTCGATGTGGACCCTGTCCATCTAATGAACTTGGAGGAATATTAGATGGAAGCACAGTGCTTGGTGGGAACCAAATTATTAATGGAAATATTCCAGATACTGAATGCGATCGCTTAAGTAACAGCGTTATTAGCGAGATGCAGGTATAGTCGCTACTATTTCTTTTAAACTCATTCCTTTTGTGGAAGAAATATTTCCTAAACTTTATAATTTTAATGATCTACACTATGATAATAATACTACTCCCAGCTTTAAGAAGCTTATATGCACGATTGTATAATTTATTTTATTTTTCTTCATATTTTCTTTTAATTTTGTGTGTTGTGTTTTCGTATGCATTTTTTAATTTTCAGTTTTCATTGCGTTCAAGAACACCTAGTTTGAGTGGTTCAGTGTACAGTCCAAATTCAAGCCGCAGAGTAAGTAGGCTACTGTAGTAGGTATTAATAATTAACTCCTTAACTCTGGTTGATTCGACCAGTACATTTTTGCATTTTCGTTGATACGTTTTTGTGAAAATAATTTGTGCATATGATTCTAAAGATTGAAAGTAAAAATTAAAGCTTGAATTTCGGACCATTAATTATATAGCTTAGAGCGAAAATGTCATACAGAAATGTTGCGCGGAAAAATGTCACAAATAGAGAAATTATCAAATGGAGAAGCTATTTTTTGTCAAATGGGGAATATTTTATATCAAATAGAAGAGCTATCTGGTGTCAAAGCTAGCATAGCTGTTCTATTTGATACCAAATAGCTTCTCTAATTGATATTTCCTCTATTTGTGATATTTTTCCGCGCAACATTTCTGTATGACATTTTTGCTCTAAGATATACAATTTATAACCATTTGGTATAGCTCAGTTGTGTCACTTTTGCTCGCATTTTTTCCATTTTGATCTAAGTGTCATTCGTCTCAGCAGCGGCTTTTCCCGCCTCTATTGCGCCCTTGTGCAGGTTTTCGATGTGCGCGTCCTCTAAAAATGTATAAAATGTGGAATCCGTAAGGCATTTTGGCTCCCGGTTCAAGCAGAACTGTGGCGCCTTTCTGCATTTTTCAAATAGATCGAAAAATACATGTCAACCTGCGAGCGGAGCGAGCCAAAAAAATTTGCAACGGACAATTTTCCAAAGTAAAGAGCTCTATGAAATTGAATTTTTTCCGTTTCTGAATTCGCGCCTTTCGGCACTTACACTATTGCAGTATTGCACAACTTCGCTCTTAGGTAAAAAAATAGCCTCTGCCTCTCAGTTATTGAATTAGTTTTTATGAATCTTTCTCTTGTTATTTCAAGTTTTAAGATGAAATGTTTTACTGAAGCAAAACACAAACTGATTTCATTTTGTACCATATTTGACTTACTACTATATTTGGATAATTCATCACAGCATGATTGTGCAAGTTAAATAAACGTTTAAAAAATACAAAGAATAAACTACCGTCTAATCGCTAACTGTAAAGCAATAGACTAAGCTAATTTGTTCAATAAACAAATATCATATTCATAAAAGCTTCAGTTACGTACATGCGATGAAAACAAAAGTTGGTCTATGATTTTCATGAATATTCCAGTCAGTCAACCAGGTCGAGTCCACCTGTTCCACAAAGAACGAGGCGTAAATTCTTGCAGATTTTTATACCATTGTGCTTTCAAGCAGTAGTAGAGAAGGTACGGACTCAAATACACTGTACTTCAGTACTATTGATTGGTAAATAATCATGGCGGCTCCATATTATTGCAAAAAGCACAAATGGTATGAAGCCTTCACACGTTCTTTCACTTCCAGGCTAGAAGTTCCGCTCAGCCAATATTTCAGAAGTTTTTACTAGTTTTGTTTCCGGCTTATATTAAAAAATAGCGTTCATGAAATATTCGCGGAGCTTGAATCTTGTGGAGGAGGTTAACCTGACCTAGTCCAATGTGTTCTGGAAGTAGAAGTGCTTTAGCATTCGTCCCTTTAAGACGGTAAATCGATTTATTTTTGCCGAATTCCGCTCAGAACAGCCTCAAATTTGACTTGCCAAGTCTGGAACTGAATCTTGTAGAGCAGTTGGATCCGACTGGGTCCAATGTGTTCTGGAAGTAAAGTCCTCTAGTACTCATTTCCTACGGGAATGCTAAATCGCATTATTGTTGCCGAATTTCGCTTGGAACACCCTCAAATTTGAGTTGGCAAATCCGTAAGAGAATTTGAACTATGTACTGCAGATGCGTTACAACAACACAATTTAGTAATACACGAAGTGTAGGAATGTAAAATAAAGACTAAAATGGTTTATTTAACTTCAATTATAATGCGGTGCCAAACCGTATGCGTCGCGTATGTGTGACATACGCGTGCAACGGTTTATTTTGGCATTCCCTAGTCGCCAGGCGCACACTACTGCATAGAATGCGTATGCAGGTGTGCGCCTAGTCGGCTTTACATACATTTCATTTTATATAGCAACTTAACCACTACAACAACGCATGAACAATATCGGATAAATTTATTTGATATTTTTAATTAATTTGAACGAATCTATGTGCAGACATTCTCTGGATATGCGTCTTCAGCAAAGTTGTAGAGCAGGTCAAGTACTACTATTTTTTCTTATCATTTTTCACGGAGCTGATAAGAGATATAATCAGTAAAGTTGTAATATCAAGCTCCCCTACAAATTTCCTGAGGGGAGATATCGCTTATCTTTTATCAGTTATGCAAAATACGCCGGAAACCTCGGAAAGCCGCGAGTTAAACGCGTTTTTTCTTATCGTTTTCACGTAACTGATAGGAGATATACAATATTTGCCCTCAGCAAAGAACGAGGAGAACGGTTGCATTCTTGACATCTTTGAAATTTTGATGTACACACACATATTAAAACGTATGGCGGATTGGAAAACGTCAGCAGTGAACTAAACTATCACTTGATGTAGCAAGTTCATTGAATGTGTGAACGGGTGGCAATATTCGATGACTTCAAATTCATATGAAAAACCACACAAGTGTTGACAGTGCAAACTCACGGTTTTTTTCGAAATATTTCTTTGGAAAACAAATCGTGGATGAAGCCTAGGCTTTGCAGAGCCCAAATATCAACAATAAAAGAAAATAAATGAATATAATTCCCAAACAGAAAAGTATATAAAATGTATGGCGTTTCCAATCTCACCACTGTTCACCACAATCAGTCAAAGCATTTAATATAAAAAAGATTCTATAGTTGGCGGTAAACATTCAACGATCTGAGTTCAATAACTGTCACAACTGTTGACACGTTACTTGTCCCGCAGCACTAGAAGTGCAAAGGTTGTGTTTTCGCAGTTTCCTGTTGAAAATTATGCTAAGGCTTCTGGCTGGACTGCCGGGAATTTTCAAGCAAAAAAAAGCTGCCTGACAAGAAAACCGTCCCAACTGTCACAAATGGATTTTAAAATTGAATATACAGATCGATTAGGGATGGAAAAAAAATAATTTTGACAAAAGGGCAGCGGCCCCTTTTGGGGCATAGTGGGGATAGACCCACCCCCTTTCCTAAACTTCGTCTGATGAAAAAATGATGTATGTCAAAGTTGTTCAGAATGATGAGAAAAATTTTTTGGGGCAGCCGCCGTTCCATTTTCTACCCCCTGGGTACACTTTTTTGACCTGAAACCCAAAAATTTGGATTCTCTATACTCAAATTAGTGGAAATATGTATTTTCCCAACGGCCCTCCGCACCCAGTCTTCCAGAAATTGAACCGGCAGAAATCGCCCCACATCTGGGATCAATTATTACAGAGTCAATTTTCTACCTCTTGGAGTGGAAATTTTTCATAAAAATGTATGACCAACTATAGCTAATTTATTTCTGGGCTATCTATTTTACCCATGGGTAAAGGTCCCAGAGCATTTTTAGCGAATTGCCTGACTATCAGGCAATAAACGTGAAAAATGCGTGTATTTTTGTTTTCGAATGCCGGGCAAAATGCCGGGCAAAATCAAATAATTTTCAAACAAAAGAATTTCTTTGAATTGTTGGTTTTATTATGTTTTTTCTTTGCATACATGTGTGTAAATATGAACATATGATTATGTTGTTAGATATGAATTTGAATACTTTTAATTACGGATGGACTTTATTTGAATTGGTTTTGGCAATCAAGATGTTTTTTCATTACGGGATTCTTGATACGGGATTGTGTGATAAACCAAAGTTGCTTCTTTAGCAGCCAACACTAATGAATTTCCATCGGGTTTAGCTTAATGTATACAAAAAATGAAATGAATTTTCTGTGCATACTTTGGTGGAGAAATGAAATTTTACCTTTGAAAAAATTTGTCATTTGTTTTGAGCTCGTTGCACTGCTCGCGAGAGATTTGTGTTTTTCACTTTCAGCGTGTCGACTACTACTACTACTTTCACCTTTACTATCCACTTTAAATGAAGTCATGCACAATTTGCAGAATGCGCTGGTGGAATCACCGTCAACCGCTTTCAACCATGGATATTTGTCCACCCAAGATTGATTGAATTTGCACTTGCCCCCCATTTTGTATCAAAATAAAAAAAATTAACAAAAAAACCATACACAACTCAATTTATTTCAACCGCTCAATTGCTCGACTGACAATTTCATAATAAGCCGATCAAATGAACTGAGTCACAAATCAATACATAATCATATTTCAATGAGAGTTTAGTGTTCGCTGTCTCACATTATGGGACACAAATACACAAAAAGTGTGCATTTGAATACTGTGTTGTCCGCGTAAAACATAGCACACTTGATTTTGGATATCGCGAATTTGTGCACCCTCAGCAGATTTGATCCACTGAGAATGAAAACAGCGCATTGAATTGATTGGCGAACAAAACCAAACACAGCGTTTTTTTCTAAATAATTTAACATAAATTAAATAACATTTTTATACGCTGTTTTCATTCCCACCGGTTCATTTGTGTTTTGAAATCAACTGCACATTTTGTTTATAGCAAAAAGTGTTTATTGCTCTCCTTCTGTCGCGTTGACCAACAATAACGACTGAGAAAGTAATGAAAAGTGTGAACTGAGATATTTTATGGAAGATTTATTCAACTTTTAAATTTTCAAATTGAAATGACAGAAATTGCCGGGCATGCCTGGCAAGATTTTGAAAATACCGGGCAGGCGCCGGGCAGGCATTGATTTGTGATTTTGGCTCGAAATTACCGGGCAGTCAGGCGCTGCGCCTAGCAAATGGGACCTTCAACTATGACCCAAAAGGGGCCGCTGCCCTCTTGTCAAAATTATTTTCTTTTCATCCCCCATCGATCTGTATATTCAATTTTAAAATCGACGTGTGACAGTTGGGACGGTTTACTTGTGAGACCAGACTCCGGCCTGCCCAACCTTTTGGACCTGATGTATGTGCAATGTGCAACTTTTGGCGCTTCGGTGCCATTAATGTACATGACATATAGGAATTGTCAAAAGAACACAGCGTTGATATAACATTAAAACATTGAATTTTCAATTTTATCAATCATAAAAAATTCCGTTTTCTCATGTTTCTCTGAAATAACGTGATGGGAGGCCTACACATTTGTGACTTTTGAGCTCTGATTTGTTTCTCCATCAGATTGAGTTGATCTTTAGGTAGTTCGTTTTTAAATGAACAGCATAGGAATGGGCATGCTTTCATTGATTTTCTCGTTTTTCAGCTTTTACGAGTACATCTATTCGTTAGTCCCAATTTTTATACAAATTGTCAGATTGAACTTGTTTTTCCTATTCAGCGCATTTGAAAAGCCATTGTAATGTAGTATCTGTAGAATATTATGCAAATTTTTATTATTTACTTTTCCATTTAGTACCGAACCGTTAGTCCTGGTCTGATGTTGAGAGAATATGGCAGCTACGGATACGATGACATTTCACGTATTTACACGTATAGCTACCTTACTGATGAACCGCATTATTTGAAGAAGCCAGTAGATCCGTATGATAAGCCATATCCAGTTTCACCACACTTCCATCGGCCCAGTAATGTTGGATCGCCTGGGAGTCGTCCGTCATCTAGACCATCATCAAGGAACAAAAGCGCAATGAAAGTTTTGGTTGATTCAATTCGTTCAGAAACTCCTAGGCCAAAAAGCCCAGCCATGAATAATGAAGAACCGATTGAATTATCACATTATCCAGCTGCTAAAAAGCCTCCTCCCGGTGAAAAAGCAAAAATTGAACGAGATGATTTTCCGGCACCGATGTTCAGGTTCACCGGTAAGTTCACCAAACATTGAATTTGACAGTGATGTAAAATGGTTATGTTTGTGTATAGGGAGAATCTATATTAAACAACTAAGCGACATCCTGATGTATACGTCTATTTTTCTATAAAAATAAATCAATGAAATCAAAGCCACATAGACTGTATATGACATTTCACTTCTCTCAGTAAAGAACAACGGGGTGACAATTTCTGAAAGAGCACTGACTCGCCACCTACAGTTGGAAAAATGCATATGTCAAATTTCATGGAAAATTCAAAAGCTGTTATACAAACAGTCCGTTAAGTATTCTGTTCTAATTTGTCATTCTTGGACATTCTTGGCCATTCTTGGGTATTCTCCATTTTTTTTAATTAAAAAAATCATTGGATCATTTAGAATTCGTTTATAATTATATTTTGATATAGTTAAAAACAAACAAATATTTATTAGCCCGGAATATTACAAAATCAACGTATTATAACACACAGTTATAACACCAATACAATGTCAAGTTCATTCGATGTATGCGCATTTGTTAACATTCGTTCAAAGAAAGAAAAAAAGAATAAGTAAATACATATTTCTTTGTTTGTATATTTTATTGTGAATTGAAACTAAAATCCACTAAAACTAAAAAAACTCGATTCTATACATTCAAAAACAAAAATGTTCATTCAAAATAATAAATTCAAATCACTACGGGTCGAATCAAAGATGGCGAACAAATGTCATGAAAAAAACATCTTTAACTCGTCAACTTGTTCCAAATTCCAGTCATAGTAAAAAAAAATTTTTTTAACTATATTGTTAATAATAATATCATTAAATCATTATATAATTGAATTAAATAATATATGGATTACTCATTTTTTATAATGTTTCTATGAACAAATGCGGATACATCGATTGAACGTGACATTGTATTTGTGTTGATACATTGATTTTGTAATATTCTGGGTTAATGATTATTTGTTTGTTTTTACTAATTTATTTATTTATTTTTTTTTTTATTAAACACCGCCAAGCTCTGGCTGAATATAATGTGGGTTTTGTTAGAGGTTTGGCCGGAAAAGATTGCAGACTGTTACAATTTTTATAAATAATGAACAATAGTAGCAGTAACTTTCGATAACTTTCAGTTGTCGCCTCGTTAAAAACCTGGCTCTTTTCGTAAATTAGGAGGTAATCACAATAGTAGGAACATGAAAACGAAAGTCATACAACCAAGATGGAAATGCTTATAGTAGTCTATAGTAAACGGTCCAGGATGAAGGTCCTGCATCCAAGCGTCTGACAGCTCACTTCTAGCGCTACGAGAAAAGTGTCAAAAGTTGTGACACAGATCGTTCAATGTACTATTTAATCTTTTTTATATTTGTTAATTAAGTAAACAAAAAAATAAAAATGTCACGAATGTGCAAAATTGATTTTTGTGAGAGCGTAGCACGTGATAAACATCAATTTTATAAGTAAAAAATGTTTTTTTCATCACGGAACATTGTTGATGTGTTCAATTTGTCGCGTTCATGAGTGCGTCTGACGACTTAAAGAATTGAAATGAACTATGAACTTCACTGAATGCGCTCATCGCAAATTTTTGTTTTACTTTGTTTTGTTAGTATGGTGCAGGGGTTGTGGTCCAGGATAACCCTTGGTAAACGTTTCCAAAGGGACAAAGGCTATGTGAAGCGTTAACTGTTCCGCGTTAAATTTAAGACTTTGAGACTGCAAAAGTCGTCACTCAATTTATCCGATAGATAAATTGATGTGAAGTTTTACGTCGGTTAAGGCAGATCCATGTTGATTGCAGAGTGTATTGAGTTGACATGGACCATGATTTGAAACGTAACTAGATCATTTGATGCTAAATGGTAATAATTCAAAATTGACTTCAAAGTTAAGAATATTAACTCGCCAAATCGTGGGTGGCCACAACAAAGCACAAAATAAAAATTTACAATAAATAAATGTAAACATCACAGATAAGATCATCTTTTCAATACACATAAAAGAATGTATGGAAAAATTCGACAGTCTTTTAATATTGATTTTGCTGTGTGATCCGTTCGATAGCGTTTGATTTTAATGAACTTGGGATTCCGGAGCGTTCTTACACCATTATTCAGATGCATTTGCGACATGAGATTGGTCGCATTATATTTGCCGATTATGATGGAGTGAATGAACAGAATGGCCGCGTTCAATCTTCGGCGCACTAAGGTTTCGAACTTCAAGTTTTGGCATCTTTCAGTGTATGGACGAAGAACGTAGTCACCCTCCATCCAGCGACGGTAGTCACCGTTTAATAACATGACCATTTGCCTTTGGGTTCGTTCAACAAACTTCATATGTGTAGTTTGATGTGGAGACCAAATCGAGCTCGCAAATTCCAAATTCGAGCGAACTAGCGCCGAGTAGAGAAATCTGATTATATCTTTTTCAAAATAAAAGGACTGTTGTTTCACAAATTGGAGAGCTGCGTTAGCTTTGTTGCAAATATATTCTGAGTGCGATCCAAAATTCAATTTCTTATCCATTATTACGCCGAGATCTCTTATCTCGTTCACACGTACCACCCGTTGTCCACCGAACCTGTAGTCATTGATGATTGGGCTTCTTTTTGTATGGAAAGTCATTAATTTGCATCTGGAACTATGAATGGACAAATCATTTTCTTCACTCTAAACGAAGAAGCGATTGATAGCTTCTTGAAGTCTCCGCACGTCGTCCATATTCTTTTTGATGACAATGATCTTTTTGTCGTCGGCGAAATAGCATGTTGCAATTTACTTTTGAAATGTACCTCACATTAGTTC